CTTACAAATGTGATGCTTGCGAGTCTGCCTTCAAAACTCGTACTGCCTTGAAATTTCACAGACGCATTCACACTGGAGAGAGGCCCTACAAATGTGAACATTGTGATTTTGCCTTTGCTCAGAAATCTGCGATGAAGGCACATGTTCGAATACACACAGGTGATAAACCCTTCAAATGTGGTGAATGTGATGCTGCTTTCAGACACAGCAGTAGCCTAACCATTCACAAAAGGACTCACACAGGAGAGAGACCATATTCTTGTGATGTTTGTGGAGCCTCATTTGCCCAACGTCCCCACCTTAATCTGCACAAACGATCTCATTCTGGTATTAAACCACACACTTGTGATGAATGTAGTGCATCCTTCACAAAGAAAGATTATCTTCTAGCTCACAAAACCAAACATGCTGGAGGCAGTGCCATCAAGATAGAAGCTATTGCTGAAACAGCTGGGGATCAGCTGTTCAGATGTACCGATTGCGAGATGGTGTTTACCCACCATTCTAGCTTGACAGTTCATATGAGAAAACACACAGGTGAAAGACCTTTTGTATGTGAAGATTGTGGAGCATCTTTCTTATATAGTTCAAACTTAACTACTCACCGCCGAAAACACACAGGTGAAAGACCTTACAAATGTGACCAATGTGAAGCTTCATTCATATTGAAGAGTTATTTAACAATGCATCTTAGAAAGCATTCAGGTGAGAGACCATTTAAATGTGATGAATGTGATGCTCGCTTCACCCAGAAGACTCATTTGTCAACACACAGGCGAATACATACAGGAGAATGCCCCTACAAGTGTGAAGAGTGTGGAGAAGCATTTCGTGATGGTGCCAATTTCTGGAGACACAAGAAGAAGCATTTGATTGGAGAAGGTGCCGCAACAGTAACTCGCAGAAGGGGAAGAAGAGGAAGAGGAAGAGGAGGGTCCAGAGGAACAAGAGGCGCTAGAATGGTTCCCACAAGACGCACAACACGCACTCGCAGGCCTGTCTTGAAATTTGAAGACTTGTATGAGCAATATATAGTAAATCAAGATGGCGAACCAATATTTCTGAAAGAGGAACTGCAAGATCTGACAACCAGAGATGGTGAGGATGATGATGATGATGATGATCGTCCCTACATCCCTATCAATCCAATGGTTGAGATTAAATTAGAAGGTGAAGATGATGAGGAAGAGAAAGATGGGGATGAAAGGATGGAAGATACAGCTGGTACAGAGTTGCAGGAGGAGGAATTGATGGATGATACCTGTGAAAAAGAAGTTTCACAGACAGAGAACGGTGACAATAATGCTGAATCAATGTCTTATAAGGCAGATAATGGTGATGATTCAGATGAAGAAACTAGAAAGAAGGATGTAGCGGGAGATGAGTTGCAAGGTTAGGTAGGTTTGTTAGTTATGTTAGATTTTTGGCATTATATTATTTACATTTATATATATGACTTACAGTATGCAGAGTATAGAATATTCTTGGTCATAAGAAACTTATCTATTATACCTAAACAAAAAGACAGTGTATTTATATTAATCATTTTTTTCATGGATCTCAGTGGAATTATATACTATCTTGAATTCTATTTTCTTTCTTTTACTTTTTTTCTGGTTTAGTTTAGTTTATGTGATATTTGTAGAGGACAAGACAAATGACTTGGTATTTGTAACTGTGTCCCTGTGGTGTATGCAGGAGGATTTCGATGTGGTGTATTCTCCAGTGATCAGTGTTGTATGAGTAGTGTCAGAGTTGACTTGTTCTTATACTAGCTTCAGAATGTTTACATGTGATGAACTTGGAACGCGTTTTTCTTGTGAGAGTTCTAAACGTCTTGATAGATTACCTGTGGTGTACTTGTTTGTGATAAAAAGATATGCTAATATGTTGATATTGGGACATTTATATTGATAGAGAATTTTTGTTTTATATTGTATCAATGGATTTATATTAGATGATGTATACTGAAGGAATTTAGATTCAAAATATGATATTAAATTTTCAAGGATGTGAATCTGTCTGGTTTATAGATTTTTTAAATTATGCAATTTGCATCATATAGCAAAAAAAAGAATCTTTCAATTGTAAACAGGTACTAGTCATAATAAATATGGAGTCATATTTTGATGTTTACAGTGAAGGAATAATTGTTGGAATGTATTTGTTTGATGTCTTAGACTGAGCTGTAAATAGCAAACTTTAGACATTTTCTACATTAGGAGATGTATTGAATTGTTTGTGAAATGTACAACTGGGGAAATAAATTGTGAATTCCGAATTGTGATTGGCTTCTTAACCATAGACAAACTAACATGAACAGGTAAATGATTTTGAAAATGGCCAATTCCTCTTTCTATGATCATAAAAAAATGAAAGAAATCATTAAAAAAAAAAAAAAATCATGAAAGACTTGTTTTCATCTAGCTTGAAGTATTATTTTTTTTAGAAAAGTAAGATATAACCTTTTTTATGAATACTACTCCTATTCTTATTGATTGTGAAGTGCATACATGCCGAATTTAATACAGTTGATATATATTCAGCTATTTGGAAACAACATAATTAGGAAAATATCAGTTAAGAACAATTACTTTAAAATATATAATACCAATGACACGATAATTAAGCCAAATAAACAGCCCCATAGCAATTTATTACAAAAAAGATAGAGCTTGGATTAACATTTTATATTCTTTGGCCTGTTGATCAATGAGTATCAAACAACATAGTTTATTTTGGCACAAACATGAAGGAGGTTTTGTATACTCCAAGGTGGCACAAGGACAGTAGTGGCCAACTTTTTAAAATCGGATATTATTACAGTAGTGATGGATGTGAGGGGTAGATGGGTAAGCCAAACATAATGGTAGGCTATGTTATGTAAATAGGAGAGTGATTATCACCGCCATACGAGGCAACTATTGTACCATGGTTGGCAGTGTCAAA